ATAAATTCTACTCTTGAATATAAGTGGTACACTTTTATCTTTTGAGGAAAGATTTATCTTCTTTTATTAATATCATCCCTACTTTCCTGCTATTGAAAGGCCTATCTCACAATTGAATTGATTTAGTATAGTATATTTAAATGAAAATTATCTCAATGTCATACCCAATAAATTGTCACTTTAAAAAAAATTACATTTCTAGAAGCTTCTTATGCGATATGAAACTATTGATATTCCTGAAAGTTTCCCTTTCAAAAAACTTACTTTTAGTATCATTTCAGATCTTCAGCAGTTTTAGTATAACTGGTTCTTTTTGCAAGTATTTACCTGGATGCATAGTTGGTGTATGACTAAAAGAATAATCTATTCAACAGAAATTTTTATTTTTTTTTGTATTTCTCTATGTCTGTACAAGTAAAAAAACCAAAAATGTGTGTATGGTATGTGTTTGTACACAAGTACAAGATTAACTTAATATATTTAAATGTAAAATGCTGGTATTTTAGGTAATTGTCTCTTTCTATGGGAAATTTGTGTATTCTGAAGAACAAATTACTTATTCCTAATTTTAGTAAATTTCTCAGTTAGTATACTTGGCTTTTAAATCAGTTATGTTTTCTGTGATTGATTAGACTAGAATTTGCTGTGTAACGTCATTTAGCTTGAAAATATGTTTTCTCTTTGTCTTTTCTTTCATATAATTTTCTTTGACATGGACGTGAGGTTGCCCATGATTGTTATCTTTTTGCCAAAATTTGGACACCAACACTATCTTTGTCGTTCAAACTGATTTTCTTTAGGTGGACACACTTGCTGTTTGTGAAGCAAGTGCTAATATACTCCATAGAACATAGTTTTTGGTCAATTTCAGCTGTTTATATCTGTCAGGGGCATTTGGTCATGAAATTATACTAATCCTCAGACTGCTTTTGAATGAAGATTTTCCAGAATGAATACATAAAATATTTGTGGAAATCTTTTTCATTATTTATACTAATATGTTTTCATTATGTAATTCTAAAATTTAAAGTTTTACTTGTATCTAAACCAAATGTGTGTCATATATAAACCAAATATATATGTATACCATTTTACATTACGTGAATATCAGTTGTTGCATTTTCCTATTTTATCATTACTATTTATATAAGCTGTTTTTTTCCTAGATTCCAAATTACTTTGCTTTAAGGACCATGTCTTCCTTAGTTTAGCTTCTGCAGACTTGACCTCAGTATAAGACATATAGCAGATACTATATAAATCGAATCAATGACAGGATACTTATATTTTAAAATGGCTTTAAATTAGTACCAACATAATGATTAATTTTAGTAGGAAGAAGCAACGTTGTGTCTAAATAAGTGTATACATTCATTGTGTTTCTTCAAGCTTCCTTCACATCTCAGTTATCCTCATGCGAGCAGCGTGACATGGCTTGACCATGACTGCGTGGGATGTATTGCCCTTGACGTCAGAATGAAACCCAAATTTGGTGGTATACGCCTGATATAACACTATCAAATCATTGATAAATTAAAACACAATTTTAAGAGGGCGCAAAAATGAATATGGAATGGATTAATGGCACACGATTTAACTTTAGTTGAAAAACAATAGGTTATAAAGGTATACATTAAAATATTTTCTCTTTGGATAATAATAGAAATTAAAAATCCATACTCAGACATCTATACTAAGATAAGAATATATATAGAACATTGAATAAAAATAATATTTTCCTTCTCTCAATAATTTTTCATTTGAAGTCAATAAAAACAAGATGAACCCTTAAATAGCAATCAGCAAATAGTCTTTTGTGTTGGAATTTCATAGCCCTTTGTTTGAGTTATTACAAACTTTTAGGTAACTGAGATTTCTAGATTTTTCCTCTTATCTCTCACTGTTGCTTACACTTATCTTCGAAATGATTTTATTTGCCTCTGGGACAAGACTATTATGTGCTCTGCTCTGGGGCTCCCATACTGACCAATTCTAGATTTAATAATAAGGACTATTTTTAATGAAGCATTCTTAAATATTTTAATATTGAATCAATGTCCATTTATTTTTTTCTTGCTGTAAGCTAATGTTTTTCATAAGCCTATTTATTTGAAGTCTCATCAGAAACATATATATATATATTTATACACATATTCATGTGTATATATTAAATTTAGAAGTTACAATGCACAATTTTACTGGTGTGACATATGGTTCTGGAAAGTATTGAAAAATGATTTTTCTCTACTGATCATGTAATTTTGCCTTCAGAGCATCTATCAAAACATTGAGGAGTAGCTGCAAGAAGCAAGGTTGAGGTGGGCCAAATGTACACCATCTAGTGGTTATATAGATCTGATGCAGCCTAATTTGACTGCAGTTTGTTTTCAGGACTGCGGTGAACAACTAGGATACCTACAGGAGCCAAGCAAACAATATAAAATAGAAGTGGGTGGGAGAAAAATCAGTTATTGGCATATATCACATTCTATGATTACGGAACTGTAGTATAAGTACATTACATAAATGGATGTAGACAAATATATTTTAAACTCAGAATGGCAAGAAAAATGCTTTGTGATAAATAGCCCCAGTGAATGGTGTGGTCTGTGGCAAGCCAAGCAATTGATCATCAGGTTCCATTGATTATTGTCATTCAAGGACTCAAATCCAGTGTTGCTAGACCTTCTAATTTTTCAAGAGAACCTGGGAATCTGGATTTGTATATAAAACTTCTAATTTTAATATGTTGGGTCATTTTTTAACGATGTGCTATGGCCCTAACTTAAATACATCTTGTGGTCACATTAGGCCATTTTGAGATCAAGGTCTTGAATTTGTTAATTTTAATTCTTTCAGAAGACAGAAAAATTTGGGGCATCTTTCAGCAACATTGTGAAGTGAGACTGGAATGTAAAGTTACTGAGTCATTGCTAGATGGGGTCTTGTTGAAGATTATTTTTATTTGCAACTAGACACTATCAAGATGCTGACGTTATTGCTGTAAACAAGACAAACTCTCGCCATTGGTCTCTCCCAGTGCTATACCTTAAATGGTACACCCAGTAACATGATCACAGAGCACGGGCACACTCTGCAGGATTGCACACCAAGTTGTTTGGATATGACTTTCCAGTATTTATTTTGGTTCTTAAACTCCATGTAGAATTTAAGTTCATGATTTATATTACTCTGGTGTATCTTTCTTGTAACTTTCTGCAGGGCAGCTTTAAGTTCTTAAAAAATAGCACTAAATTATGGTTTGCAATATAGGAAAGAATAAAACCCTGATACAGTGTTTGTTTGTTTCTTTCACCAGCTTCCTTAACCTTGACCACAGCTTTCCCCATCTGCACAGAGGAAGGGAATGAAGAGAAAAAGTAATAAGAATGATCAGGATTCAGAATCTTTTGAACTTTTTCAAAAAGTAGGAGAGGCAGAATGAAATGAAAGGCACTGCAAATAGCCATGTGTCCTAATTTCTTCTCTCAGGTGTCCTCTCTTTATTATCTTGAGCAGTCATGTTCAAAGGCAAGCCACAGTCCTTCCAGCTGTCCACCAGATTCCTTCAGACCCTGAGTTCTCTCACTCCATCTACAACCACCTTCTCACTTGTACTTTCTGTTTCAGATCCCCTGGTCTCCCCGCTGTTCCCCAGTTACATCACATGTGATCCCCCTTACGCCTTTGTACTGGTGTTCTCTCTGCCTGAAACAGTATATCACAGATATTCACTTATTCTCAACTTTCTACATGTCTTTGTTAAAATGTCACTTTCTTAGTGAGGTCTACCCTAATGTACCACTGAGAATTATGTCCCCTGCACCCCTAATACCCTCTACTTTGCTCTATTCCCATTCCCTGACAGCATTAATTACCTTTAACGTAATATGTAATTTACTTATTATGTTTATTGTAAGTATTTCCTCTTCTAAAACATAAATACTCTGAGGATAGAGATCTTTGTTTTGTTTTGTTTACTGTTATTTCAGAAAACAGTGTCTGGCATATAAGGCACTAAATATATGTATTTTTAAATGAAAGACTGTCTAACTTCTTATTCATTTAGATCGGGGCATATTTCCCATAGCTTTCTGTAATTGCCCGTGAAAGGTTTCTTGCAACAAATTGTGTCTTATGGGCTTATAACCTATTTTGTCTTTATTACTAGAAATTGCAAGAACACAAGTTAAGAGTAAAGAGATATTTGTATGATTGGTCTCCAAAACACACGTTAAAAAGAAGTTTGTATGTTTGGTTTCAATATAGAGGGCAATCACTTTGTATAGAAAATTAGTATAAAAAACTATAAAGAAAAATTGGCATAAAGCAGTAAAAAGGGCAAGAGTATTAGGTCAAAAGACCTGTGATTATATCCTGGTTACACCACTTACTAGCTCTCTCACCTCTGGTTAGTTAGTTATTATTTCTGAGCCTCAGTTACCTTATCTTTAAAATAGGAATAATAATAATAATAATAATAAGGATGATAATAATAAATTATGTCTTTTTACCTTATAAGTGTATAATGATATGTTTTCTTTCTTAATACATTCTTGTTTCCTTCAACAATTAACCCAACATTTCTCTAAAGTTATAATTACTTTGATTGTACTATTCATGTGACAGTTCTACTTTTTAGAATAAAAGCTCTGCAAGGACACATCTGAGTCTTTGTTTTTCAATGTCATGTTTTCAACTCTAAAGATGATATACAACACATAACAGTTGCTCAATAAATATGTTGTTGAATAAATAATTCAGCAAATTTAAACCATGAATTTCATAAGGTATAATAATAGTAAGTTGGTTTATAGTCAGTTATTATAATAGAGATGTCTGTTACTATTGTGATTGTTTAAACCTTTACCATCATCATCATCATCAAATATGTGTTACTCAGGCTTTTTTAATCCACTACCAAGAGGATTAAAAATTACCTTAGAAATTTAGTGAAATAACACAGAAAACACTTTGCTGATCTAATGATTTTGTTCTAGGTCTCTAAGCTGGCTGGTGTTTTGGTCAAGCACGGTGTCAAGAAAGGTGACACTGTGGTCATCTACATGCCCATGATCCCACAGGCAATATATACCATGCTTTCATGTGCAAGGATAGGAGCCATCCATAGTCTTATATTTGGGGGATTTGCATCCAAAGAACTAAGTAGTCGCATTGATCATGCAAAGGTAAGTGCTTTATTTGGGGGAAATCAAGTAGTAGCTATGTATGGTATAGCCATATTTGAAGATGGATCATCCAAGAGTGATTTGTACTTATTAGATCCTCCTTTCAAATAGGGTACTTAAAATGTGCTTTTTCTTTGGCACATATCAAGTAACTAAAAATTTATTTTTGAGTCAGTCCTATGTGAAAGACATCTTGCTAGGTGCTGTGAGAAATATAAAATATAATGCCTTTTAAGTTAGCTTGCTATATATTTCAGTGCATGAGACAAGTAAAATAACTAATAACTAATTTATTCAACATATATTTATTAGGCTCCCACTATGTGCCTGGTACTGAAGTAGGAACAGGAAAATAAATTATACTTGTCAAATGGATGGGACACATAACAGATTTTATAATCTACATACTGCCAGGAATGGTTAAGAGGGGTTGTCAGGAACAGGTGAAGTTACATGTCTAAATGGGGTACTAAAATAACAAACTTGATAAAGCTGTTATAAAATATCATTGCGATGTTGAATTTACACTTAGCACAATGCCTGTCCTAGAGTACTCATTAAAAAAAAAAGTTAGCTATTCTTATTCTATGAATTTAGAGTAGGGATCAACAAACATTTTTCTGTATGTTACCTGATAGTAAATATTTTAGGCATTGCGGGTTATATGATTTCTATTGCAGCTACTCATCTGTGTTGTTGTAGCACAAAAGCAGCTTTAGTTGCTACAGAAAGGAAGGGCATAGCAATGTTCCAGTAAATCTTTATGGAAACATGGTGTAGGCAGGGTGTTGTTCTCAACCGTAGTTTGCAGATCCCTGATTTAGAGGAAGGAGTGGGTTTAGTTGGGAGGCCAAAGAAGGCTTCCCGAAGGACATGAGATTTGAGTTAGCTCTTGGCTAAGATTCAGCTAGCTGAGGAGAATGACATCATGGGATCCCAAAGGTGAGGAAAAGAAGATGAGTCTAGCTTTAGAGGCAGGAAAGGGTAAAATTCATTTGGAGGCCGGTGAATAGACCTATGTGATTGAAGAGGGAGAGAAGAGAAGGTGAGCTTGCAAAGGCAGTTTATGTCTGGACTGGATTCTGTAGACCTTGACCAGTCACAGTTTTTGAGCAGATGAGTGTTATGTTTTAAGCAATGTTAAGAGGAAGCAAGTCTTGTGATATGATATGAGTGGGAGAGAGGCTAGAGGCTGGAATAAGAACCTTTGGTGGATGGTCTGTTTGTGAAGCTATGGGCAATATGCTGGAGAGTAATAGCAGTGGGAAGATCAAGGAAAGGAGTGTTATGAGTAAGAGATGATTGATCTTTAAAATTTTATAATCCCAAAATGAGATATTCTTAATGCAGAGGGAACTAATATATATTGAAGGCCCCCTGGGTGATAGGCATAGAGTGAGGTTTTGTATGTCTGACTTCATCTGGGATAAATGAATTATTAGAATTAGAAGCTGGTTTGTGGACTAACTAACTGGCTGTATTAATTTTTTTCATTATGATTTGTTTTTTCTCTTTCTTTTATCAACATGTTGCATTAGTGCTTTTGAAAAGAAATCTGGGGGGAGGTATCAATCAATCATTGACCTGCAAATAAATGTACAGTTGGGGACTTGTCCAAGGAAGGTATAGACTCCAGTTTTTTAGCTACAGAAATTCTAAACACCATTTAAATACAGGTATAAGATGTATTATTTTCTCTTTGTAAAATTTTATATAATGTGGAATAATTGAGATATATAAAAAAATAAAAATTTATAAAACTTATGCTATACCACTGGAGGTGTTTTTATCTAACACACATGCACACACATCTTTTTAAAGGAGTTTAGGCAATAAGTGCATATTGTTATGGGCAAGACCATTGACTGGGGCGAGTTAAAGGCAAGAAGATAGAGATGCGTGTCTGAGAAATTTGGATATATTTAATAGTTGAAATCAGGGATGATTTTGATGTCATGATTTTCAATTAAGTAGACTAAAGAAAAGAGTTTTAATTTTTAACAGAAGAAGATGGGAAGAATATATTCTAACAAGTCAGTCTAGACCAAATGAAACCTCCAATCAAACGCTAGTGGAAATGTGAAAGGGATTATTTTTCTAGAGGAAGAGTCTCATTTTGACTTTATTAAATTATTCAAGCTTTGATATATTCTCTATATATTTTTAATTTGTAATGTAACTTAATTTATTCAGAGTTCTAATCTTAGGGAATGTTATCCAGAGTTATTTTTGTAAGTATTACGGATATTACAGTGTGAGTTATATTCAAATGTCTGACCTTTAAAACATAACAAGAGAAAATAAGACTTTTTTCTTTTCTTTCTTTTCCCCCTCCCTTTCAAAAGGCAGATTGATATAGTGGAAAGAGTAAGTTTCTGTAATCAGACAGAATGGGCCTCTTTCTCATTCCATCACTTATAACCTGGGGCAAGCTAGGTAACTGCACTTCGCCTCAGCTCCATGAATATTAAATGATATTCAAAAAGCAGAAAGCACTATATATGCATATATTTGGCATAATATAAACCTTCCCTAGATGAAATGTATTGTAACCAGAAATCAGAATTCAGGAATAGATGCACTATCTCGAATAGATTATCTGTCTCCTGAATAATTTATTATCTGTCTCCTTTGCTTTGGATTTCTTGGTGAAGAAACCATGTATTTAAGAGAATAAAGATATGTTTGTTTCTGCAAATTAATGAGAATTGTGGTTCAGCTCCACAAATATTTATTGAGAGCTTATGGTATGGCAAGCGTTATACCAGGCATAAGAGGCACAGAGATAACTAAGATCCAGATTTGGCTTTGGAGAGCTTCTTGCGCAGGGGAGGGGATGAAGGAGTATTTTGATCATAGTGGGACATCCGAGGCCTGCCCATAGTGCAATTTCCCTAACTTCTTCTGCCCCTCAGGGACGCCTTTTGGCTATACCTGTGTATGCCATGAAGACTAGCAAGTAGTCAGAGTGCCAAATGTATCTTAATGACAGGAGCAGGTTGAGGCTTTGTGGGGCTTGAAACTTAAATTATTTGGGGGCCCTTTTAAGAAAAATAGGACAAAATTACAAATAAAATATTTGGTGAAAATAAATATGTCTTTAGAATGAGAAAAGAATCATTAATTATTGGAGATTTGGGTCCCATCCTTCCACGGTCTCTAGGCATTAAAGCAAAGATGCTTAAATAAAAAACCTTAAAAATGCTTCCTGATAGCCCCTGTGGCTGGCCTTCCCCACCTAGGGAAATGCTACAATGTCAACAACAGCTGACTGTTACAGAGGCTCTGCAAGTGATGGCCCCTACGCTTGCATTTTACTGGTTCATGGCAAATCTACGTGGCTCAATGAATACTTTGAAAAGTATTTTTTAACAGTTTACACTTATTAGCCAAAAGCATATTGACATGTAATTTTGAACAGGTGAGATTTATATGGAAGAGATTAGGTCTATAACACTTAAAAGGGGTTTATTGGTTTTCAGGCCATTTATTCAATAGAGAACAAAATTATTCAAATATTTATTTTAAAATGTTAAACTGCCTGTCTGCACTTAAAATATTGTGATTACCTTAATTAGGATTGTTAAGTGTTCTCAATTATTTGTTTATTTATTTTAATTGTAGCCCAAGGTGGTTGTCACAGCATCATTTGGCATTGAACCTGCAAGGAGGGTAGAATACATACCACTTCTAGAAGAAGCGCTGAGAATAGGACAACACAAACCAGATAAAGTCCTCATTTATAATCGTCCAAATATGGTAATCTGTATACTGAATTTACTTCTTGCTTATAGTGATGTGCTAAGGATGATTTTAGTTTTGATTATTTGAAACAAACCTTTGATTTATAAACCATTAAATATACTTCCTGAACGTCACTATTTTTTGGCCAAAAAAAAAAAGATATTAGATATGAATGATATTTTCTCTTTATGAAAAACTAGCTTAAATACAAAGATTGAAACACAGAAATACCCACAAGATTAATGAATTGGATTCTATGTATAGTCTACTGTGTCATTTATTAATTGAAATTATAACGATAGTAATTATAGTACTAGCATACACTTACCATATGACTTTTAAGATACTCTACTAAGGGATAATTTAAAATATCTTCCTGATAACTCTGTGACCTAGGTGATAGTATTATTTCTACTTTAAAGAAGAAGAATCCAATGAATAAGGTGATAAACTTGCTCAGCTTCTAGTGTCAGGATCACGATCTGAATGTGTACACTCTGACTGCCTGCTTAGTGTCTAAATTATCCTGCCTTGTGGAGAGGTGTGATTAATTTGTATGTAAAATACCTTTTAAAAACTTTAGAAGAAGTATTTAGTCCAGAAATAAAAACTATATTTCGGAAAACAAAATATGAATATTCTAAACAGATACATTACTTTATGATCTATGAAGAAGGAAAAAGCAGTATACTACACCAATGAATATATTTTACAGTGCTTTTTCTTAGTAAATTGGATCTAATGTTCACCTCATTTCTACATTCAAGCAAGTATATAGTTATTTATAGTGGGACTCACTTGGGTTTCTAGCAGTTTAAAATTTTTTGCAGAAGAAAAATTATAAGAGTACAAAGAATTATATATAATTTTGCAGAATTCTCGAGAGCTTAGCTGCAGAAAATGCTTAAATGACAGGATATAAGAACAGAAAGCATTAAAACTATGTCATTTTGATCACCACCTAGCAATTCCCATTACTAGATTAAATTCCCGTGTAAAGTTTCAGTAGTCTGCGGTTCATGAACCGCTACACTCAATGATTTTAATATTCTTACTGTCTCGAAGAAGGATTTTAAGTTTCTTTCAGATGACCTCAAACATATTTATAAAAAAGGTTTGTTGTCATTAATTCAGGGAATGCAAAGTCAGCAAGAAAGGCTTTGGGTGAGAAAAGATTGGAGGAAGGGTAGGAACACATATATACAAAAGTGTTTATGTGAGTATGTGTGTGCTGTTCACGCAAATATGAAATGTAGAATTTGTAAAGAACTTATGCCAGGCCCGATGCTAAGTATTTTCATATACTTATTTAATTCTCACAAACCAGTAAAGTAGTTGCTATTACTGGCCTCATTTTACAAATGAAGAAACTGAGTCATGGAGAGGTCATAGCCCAAAGCCACAGCTAATAAGTGGTGAAGTCAAGATTTGAAGTCCAATTAAACGATCTTTAACCAATAAGATATGTGTGGTTTCTTTCACTTTCTAACACACTGACTATGGATATAAATGTTACCCATTCAGATTTTTCTGATGCAAATCTCTTCTCGTTCCTCTTTATAGGTGGAGATCCACTCCCTCTACCCCTCTCCCATAACTGGCTCACTTTCTCTTCTTTTCTCTTTCTCTTAAGCACTTTTCTTCTATTTTGACTTATCTTTATTTTAGATGAGGGCTTTAGATGTCTCATCCTTCATATTAAACCTGCTGTTTAGACGGTAATTAAGCCCAGTGGGCTGGCTTCGCTCTGACTTCAGAGAGACACATATGGAGCCTCTTCTTAACAACCTGATTGCCACTTCTAAGCCTCATGCTAGCAATGACAGAATCAATGGAGTATCACAGCAGTCAACTGTAGTGCTCTCCCAATATTGCCTTTTAAAAATGATAACAACGAAGCAGGACATGTCTATGGAAATAAATGTATTTTATGTAAAAGCTAATGTTGAATTTTTTCCTCTCTTCCTTTCACCAAATCTTTTATACACATGTCTTACCCTGAAAAATAACCATTCATTCATGTCCTCATTTCATTTATCTATAATTATTTTTGTGATGATTCAGTTGACATTTTTAATTGTGCAGTGTGACGACTTTTTTATAGGTTTGTAATTTTGATGATAAAGGCTTAATAATTTGAAGTTAGTTATGTTTATCTGATGCATAAAAACAAATGAAAATATACAATTTGGTCACAGTTAATCATTTTTATTTATCTAAGCGGCATATCTAGGGCTTATCAGAGTGAGTCTGGAGAAGTCTAAAACTTCACCTTCCTGAAAGTCAACTCAGATTGTTATCTATCGATGTTTATTCATGTAGGCATTGTATTTGTGATATTATACTGAAGTATTAATTTGTTAATGTAACATTTAAATATATGACCATTTTTTACAACCCTGATTAATACGTCAAGGAGCCCGAAAAATGGAAATGGCCTGGGTTTTCTAAATCTCTCAGAGTCTCTGGGCTTAGCATTACCTTGATGAAATGAATGGTTACATATACTCTTCATATGGATATTACTTTCACTGAGGAATGTGTAGTTTTGCCTGGTGCCTATACTAACAAGTTCACCAACTATAAACTTTCTGATGTGTCATCTTTAGCTTAGTTAGCATTTCAGAAAATAACTAGACATGTACTATGTCTTACCTCTACTTAAATGGATGTAACTCTTCATTAGAATAATTTTTCCATAAGCCACTTCCTTATTCTTCACCTATCTGGCTTATTTCACTAGCACCATTTTTAAAGAGGTCTGTCTACCTTCTTTTAAGGTGTATCTGTCTAACTCATAACTCTGTTATAAATTTTACAACACACAGCTTGGTTCTAGGAATAAAAAAAACATTTTTATGATACTAATCAGTGACCTAGACGGAGGAAAATTTGGATAGCATTTTAAATATGTTACATGCTCTCATTATTTTTTGAAACTTATTTTTCTTCTTGAAAAAGCAGATTTCTCCTCCACTCCTGAAAATAATTTAACATCATCTCATTTCCAAAGGTGGCTACAGTATTACTCCTAAATGGCCTTTGTATGAAGATAAATTTTAATGGGTTAGTTGACATTTCATTGTGAAGACAGTTGTTCTAAAGTGAAAGAAATAGGTTATGAAAAATAGAAATTAGTTTATAAAGTTAATAGTATACATATATTTATGGAGACATGTACCTCAGTTAATCATTAAATTGTTGGACTTTCTTTGAACATTTGCCTTAACTCATGACCCTGAAATATTTAGTCATAAATCTGATGTTTAGCGGTATATAGAAAGCTTGGATTTTCTGTCAGATGTTCAGACTAATACAGATTTAGCTATTCTCCATTGTTCTCTGGGTTTGATCTCCTTTGTTCAGTTCATATTCCTACTTTTTTGTTCTGCAGGAGACAGTTCCTTTGGCTCCAGGTCGTGACCTTGATTGGGATGAAGAGATGGCAAAAGCACAGTCACATGATTGTGTTCCTGTTCTTTCGGAACATCCGCTGTATATTCTTTACACATCTGGAACAACAGGGTTGCCAAAGGTATTCACTCCCTGAGGGATAGCTATGTCTATCGGCAGATTTCTTTTGCACTGAGAATATTTGATTACTGATTGAAAATGTTGCAGAATATACCTTGATGTTTAGACTTAGGTACTTTATATCTTAAAGAAATGTTGTGTTTAAATATTGAAAAGTATTAATTATATTTAAGGTCAAGTGCTTTCCATCCATGTCTTCTAAAATCTTCACTTGTATCAGCACTATACAATTGCTTTGATAAGTTACTAAAATTAATAGATATTTCACTGAATATCAGCTGGCTTAATAAAATTTTATGAAAACATTGTAAATGAAATATTTTTTAAATTGAGGTATAACTTTCATACACTACGGAATTGATTTTTGATCTAAGAGAATTCAGTTCTTTGTTATAAATGCAAGTTTGAGAATTGGCCTAGACAGTTTGAACAACAGGCAATTTATCCAGAGTATTGAACTCTTTGATTTGCAGCACTAAAAACACTCAAGGATTTTAGAATCTGCTTATCATGAAAGGTATTTTCACAGAACAAAGTTAAAAGCATCAATATTTATGAAGGTGTCAGATAACAAACAAATTCCACTTTTGCCTGCTATCTTCAAATAAAACTGTTTCTTCATACGATTTCAAGAAGGCTTGCAATATTATATTCCTGTTCTTCTTTGGGGGTTCGATATTCAGTGAATCACAGAATTTTAGTAAGGGAAGGCACTTTCACAATCATGTCCTGGAGAGCAGTGGCCTCTTTATTAATATTAGATCTCTGCATCATCACAGTACCAAAAACATTATTGGTTCATAATTTTAAAAAAAGAAAATTAAGATGTTCCATATAAAATTCACTTGCTTGTGAAAAAGAAAACATTTGGTAGTAGAATATAATGTAGCTCAAGAGAGACGATGTTTTATCACATTTTAGTGCACCATCGTGCTTTGTATGTAGTTGGTGCTCAAATTTTTGTTGAGTGTGTAAGTAAATAAATAAATGCATATACGTAAAGATATTTGTGGCATTGTAGAATTAAAACCTTATGATTTTTTTTCCCCCAAAACAACTCTGGTTATCTAAAAAATAAGTATTTGTTATATTGAAAACTCTAAGATTTGTTTAACTAGTCCAAATGATCTGCTGGACACAATCCTTATCCTCCACTTTTTGTAATTCCGCATTATGCACTAGCCACATAGAGTTCAAATGAACGCTTGGTTGTAAAATAAGAGAGGACTCAGTGTGTGGGAATTTCATATGAAAGTATCAACATGAGAGGAAACCCTTGACCCTGAAAACATAGTATAACCTAAAAAAACAACAAAAGAAAAAAGACAAACAACAACAACAACAACAACAAAAAAAAACAACAAAAAAACTACCCCCAAGCAAAGAAAGTTATTTTATCTCCTTAAAAGCCTAAAGGAATCTTATAAAAACATTTGCATCAACTCAAGATTTTAATCACTCTGAAATTCACTGTGGCCTGTATGGGGATCTGTGAGGGAGGATCAGACATTTGTCAGAAACTCAAAACTTACTCAGCCAGTGTGGTAGAAAGAAAATGAAATAGTACAGAGAGCACTGAATCTAAACAGTGGTGGTTCCAAATAAATATCCTAGCTATTCCAGGTTTTCTCTGAGTCTAGAAGTTATCTTCTGGATTCTTAAATACTCAAACTGAAGATTGTTTGAAGATTTAATCATTCTCATCTTTGTACTAATGTACCATACTGAAGATGATCTATTTCAATAGATTGGAGAGGGCTTTAATACTTTGGAGATCTCGTCACGTTGAATTCAGCTCAATTCAGTATACAAGCATCGAGTGTGCATTCTGAAAGAGATAAAAATATGACTAAACCACTGTCTCTCAATCTAATGGGGTTGAAATATATGTATAAACACAGATAATGCAAGGTAGTCTGATGCTTACTCTAAGAGAACAAAGCTCGCTGTCTCTCTCTCTCTCTCTCTTTCTCTCTCTCAAAAGAGGAGATTCAATGGTATCTGAAGGATTAAATTCAATTAATTTAACAAATATTACTGAGCATACAAATATGTGTCTGGCTCTCATTTTAGAAGTTTATATTCAATAGCTGGGACACAGGCACTAAATAAATAAGAGCTCTGTAATATATGATAGGTGTTATGAGGAAAAGTAAAGCAGATGGGGAAAAAAAAGTAAAGAATGATGGGAAGAGTGGGAGTGCTGTTCACTCAGGAAAAACTCTTGATCAGATGACACTTGAAGGATGAATAGAACTTCTTCATAGAGTGACATCACAGCGGGGAGGGAATTCCAGGTAGAGTGGGTCAGCATAAGCGAACAAAGAAGTGTGTAAGGAAGGTTCTAAAATGGCTAGTGCACATGGTGCAAGGGAAGAAGAAATGGCTAGATATGTAGGCAGGAGCCACACGCTTAAAATTTCACCAAAAAGTTTATGTTATATTCTGTATGTAATGGGTGGAAGGCACTAATGCTTCTTAAGGAGAGAAAAATATAAAGGAAGATAACCATGCAACATTTTATTGGAAAGATAGGCAAGTATATACAATGGAGGAAAGAATATTAGTTTTCAGGCTGTTTAATTAGTTTAGAACTTTACTTAGGACAGCACACTTAGTAGGAGGAATCAGGTTTGGTTCAAGGTTAGGAGTGAGGCAAAGGAGGAGTCCAAGACTTTGAACCTGAGAACATGGAAAGATGGTTTTGAATATTTACTGAAATAGAAACACAGGAGGATGGTTTAGGGCTGGAGAAACTGAGCATTTTTAATAGATTGGGTATGATGTGTCTTTGGGATATGCCTAGGCAATAGCTGGAGGTGAAACTCTGAGTCCAAGAAATACATATGGGTTTGTAGGTAGACCATTGTGGGTCATCAGTGTAGAGGTCTGGTGTTTGAATCATTGGAGTGAGTACAAAATGATTTTTGCAAAATAGGACATCAGAATGGCAAGAGAAAGTAATAGTCTCTCAAGATCCCTCAGAAATACTTCTCTCACTGCTCTACTGGATTTTAATTGCATTGATGTTATACATTGCTGACAAACCTTTATGCCACTTTTTTTGTTCTGCTTTATACACTGCATGTTCTATGAGGTCTTAGAATATATTTCATACATCTTTGAATCCACTATGTCATTAACTTTAAAATTGGGCCATGATAAATCCTCCAAATATTTGTAAATGATCTCTTACTTCTCCAGTTAGATCCAAGCATCCTCTTTATTTGTTAGATTCCCACTTTATTTTTGGTAGTTATAATCAGGATTAATGGGATCTGAAATTTTAATATTGGGATTCTCAGAATACAACAGGAAAGATGAGCCCTCATGCATTTACTAAGCATTTAAATATAAACTTCATGTCGTCATCTAGTTTGTTTTCTCAATTTTTAACTTTCATGAGGAAAAATAATACTGTGAGCCCATAAAAATATGCTGCTTAAAATTGCTCATTTCTCATAGGAACATATACAACACACATAAAACAATCTGTTCTTTGGTTAAAATTTGTAGATATAATTAGGGCACATTTGCATCTCTGCATCTGCCAATCCTGGATTTGTCAGGTTGCTGTATGACAGGTTAATCTGGTAGCTACTGCAAATATTCCAGCAACTGTAGCTGAGCTGGTTTGCATTCATTTCTGTCTTGTTGTGGGCTTCTGTCCTGTTTGGTTTGGTGCCTCATTCAAGATACTTCAAAGCACTTTCACAATAGAAGAATCACTCATCTGAATGGCTTGTCCTTTTGCGAGTGGGAGATTTAGTGATGGTCATATTTATCTTCTTTCTGCTTAGTATCATGGAGGGACAGTGATAACAAAAACAACAAAAAGTTCAGTGCCAAAGGAGAACAGGAAAAAAGAAACTAAGAGGAAAAGATTGAAAGGAAGGTATAGATAACATCTTTTGTCCTGATGTGCATTTATACAACTTATGTCACTTTTATTCCTGCATGTTAGGTGACTTACTCACATCCAGTACCCTAGGAAAAAGAGAAAGAAAAAAAAAGTCAAATATAAAAGCACTGAACTTTTTTTTTTTATCAGTGTTAAAATTCTTTCAGTTAAAATGCTGGACTTGCTACACCTTTGCCCCTTATCTCACAGTTGCTTAGATCAGTAAAAAATTATACTGCAGCATCAGAGTTGTCTGAAAGCTTATAGCAAGAGATTTTATGTTTGATGAAATATCCTAAATGGACCATTCCATTTCTACAAATATGATTCACTGAGTTCTATGAGTTTCAAAGATTTCTCCTGAACAAAGAAGAGTATTTGTAAAAAGAATATTTTTCATACATGTGCTTATTCACTTAAAGGTTCTCTCATGTCAACAAATGTATTAAATGCCTATTTTTGCGCCAGACAATGTGCTGAAGACACAAAGGCATTGTCTTGACAACACCAAAGTGGTGGAGGAGACACAATGCAAGGCCAGGTGGTCAGTCAGTGCCTGGAGGAGGTGTGCATGCCCTGGGGCCATAGAAGAGGGTGAGACTGGCGTTTACTGTGGGATCCTGAACAACTTCCAGAATATGAGACACTTTTATAATGTCTTTTAAAGTGCTTGTGTGATGATGTAGGAGCTAACCAGGTTCAGAGAAGGGCTGGGAATGGGACCTCATTCTAGAAAGAGGGAATATCATCTGTAAAGCCACCATAAGAACAAAAATATTCTTGATGTGTTGGATTTTTTAGGTTATCAGAACCATATCTTTTATTTCTCATCTTACTGACTCCAACCATTATTTTGGATTTCTTTGCTTTAGGTAAAATATTTATTTCTTCTTTCTTCTTCTTTTTTTTTAATCCGTCAGCCTGAATTTTATATATGTAAAATATATATCCAAATATGTATAAACATACATAAACATATACATATATACACACATAAACATATTTATATATGTGTGTAGATACATATATATATCGTATGTAAGTATATATTTGTTTCTTATAAGCCTTGATTACAGAGTTGAATGACAAAGGGGCTCAATTATGAAGGTTTGTCATGCACTGCAAACTTCTTCTACCCTTAGATTTGCCTTTCATATTTAAAGATTAGTTAAAAAAATTATTAGGATGAAGAATTTCAAGCTCTTACTCTTACCAGTCACCTCTGTCTTCCTTCCTCTTTTGCTATAACCCATATTGTTCATATCGTTCCCACTGTATTTTTCTTAAGTTGCAGCAACCAAAACTACAGAACACTTGATACTGACATGTTTCCTTTTTCACTTTAATGGCCCCATTTATGATATTTTGTGGCTTTCCTTGTCTTAAAAAACAGCTCATTAAGCTGGAAGTCATAAAGAGCCATCTATGATGACTCTGTGGTCCCATTTCTGGGTGATTAATAATCAGCCTTTAAATTTATTTGTAAAGATTGAAAATACCATCATACATTAAAAGTGGTTTTTGTTTTTAAAGAGCACCTTCACATTGTCTCCTTTCCCATTTCTGAGATAGAATTCACTTTTATGTCTTTATTCAGGGGCATGGAGTGTTATTCCCTCCTGGATGTCTTTTAAGTATTATGCTGATCACATAAACACTAGAACAGTATTTTGTCAGATTATAAGCCTTTTCTGGGAGTATATTAGGTCATCTAATGTATTTACTTTTAAGGTAGAGCATATACGTACATAAAGAAAGTAGTAACAGATTCAAAAGAGAAAAATGTAGTATGCTCGTGTTTTACGGTTAAACATTAGTATTGAATAAGTATTTTTACTTCAAACTCAAGATTTCAAATATATTTTAAAATGCGATTTTTAGTTTCTGATTAACTTTGTATACTTAGAATATAATGATTTTTTTGAATGATATATGTGTTTTTAGAGGCTGAAAAGGGTTTCTGTTTTGTACTTTAATTATCATTACTTGGAAAATATGATAACAAACAAGAATCAAGAAATGCTTTATCACCTATTTTTAGTCACATATTAATATTATAATAAACTTTTTAGTGGAATCTTTTAATTTTTGACTTTCAAACTTCTTGTACAAGATTTAGTTGGAAAATATGAAATGATGCAGTTTTTTTCTGTATCATATCAAATACTCTGAAAATTGAAAACTGTTATGTGAATATTTTGGAGGCAAAACCAAATTTCAGATCTAGATTCTAGGTTAATGAATTGTGAAATGATGCTTGATGAAAATTTTTATATTCATCCTTTAAAAAAACAAAAGTGGATATCAGAAACCAATGGAAAAAGACATCATGGATTTTCTCTCTGTTTTAGCTTCATTTTAATTGTTTTTAATGAGAATCTTTTATGGTAACCTTTTTTTGACATTTATGCCTTTTGGGTGGTATTAGCACAGGGAAAATAAAAGAAAAACAATATTTGCTAGGACTAAGGGAATAATTTTGTTAATGGGTTATTAAATTTTAGCCTTTACAATTTTAAATGCTTTTCATACACGGTCTCATTCTTAAGTCCCACTTTTTTTGGACCAAGTGGATTTAAGTATCTACTATTTTATAGACAGCAGCATTGGGTAAATATACTTTAAAGAAGTATTGACTTGAAAGGTAAACAGAAATTTGGTAACCTATCTTTTAAGTTATCTGTTAAGTTTTACAAATGAATTACTACTCATTTATGTTCTCCAAGTCTTCTATTCCTTTTTATCATTCCCAGTTGATTTACCTTACCTTCGGTACCATATGATCTAAAAATTTGTTTAGTTATAATAATATTTAGAATTACTGATAAAAATGAGATCTCAATTCAGAGAAGGCAGGTAGAGAGAAATTTTTAAAACATCTTAAGTAAAATCATTACCGACATTATCACTGTTTATCATAATATATGGATAGCATATTATGTATGAAAAAAAAACTTTGCTCTTTTCCTCTACAAATGAATAAAAAGTTTTAGAAAAGAGTGTTTGCAGGTTGATTAATATCAAATTTATCAAGATATCAAACCACAGGGAAAGACTTTCTCAATGAACAAACAAATTAACAAAGTACATGAAAGATAATACAGAATGTACTGTGGAAAGAGCTACTCAGGAAGCATTTGTGAGACTTCCTGGCAGGGAGCTTAAGATTTCTACTATTCCCAAGGTGATCAAGAGAGCCAACTGCATGCTAACCATGTCATACAACCTAGAAAGTAGCTGTCAAATGCCAAGAAGCTACATGTGATATTTGCCAAGAGACCAGGTGTTGCTGCTGGTAGATAAAATGTATTCCACAGCTTGATACCAATGTTTTATTAGTGGTACCTGAGGAGAGCAACAATTTTAGTAACTAACAGAAAGTCAGTTTCTTTTTCATTCCTCTGATTCATGTATGCGTGTTTCAGTTGCAGAGCTATGCCAAAAAGGCACGACGAGTAGCACATTTATTCACTGGGACCTTTTGGTAAAATTATTTTCTGCGCAAAGTATAACTGCTCTTCTAAAAAAATGCTTCAGAATCATTTGAGTCAGATGTTAAATATTTCATAGCAAGCATTCACCTTCTCGCTCTAAATATTCACATCATTAAGTCTTTTTGAACCAGTAATGGTTAATATTAATAGGGAAGCAATAAATGAAATTAATTATTAAATTTAATAATTCTTATTTATCATGACGTTTTTGCCCAGTTTTCAAATATTGCCCAGTTTCTTCTTTGAAAGTTGAATTTGTTCAGTGTCATGGGTAGCTGCTAGCAACTGATTTGTGAAAGCTGTAGTATTGTGATGTAACAATCTCTACTTTTGTACAAAATGTACTGTAAATCAAAGCTGCCAGCCTTAGATCCAACTCATCAGGATTGATTCCTCAGAGTTCTAAATGTCATCATTAAAGAATTGCTCAGCTCAAATACTGTGCTAGCATCACTCCCAATGTAGCATTGTAATGAGGCTCCAGAATATGACTTTGTTTCCTCTAAGCATACTATTATTATTTAATAACATTAAGGTAAAGACAGCCTTATGTTCATCTGTATTTTAGACACACAGCTACTTTTGACCTTTCTGTGCACTTAATTTTGAGAGTTTTCATTTTGTTCTGGAAATATGTCTGAAAATGTAATGTTGTTAATCTATGTTACCACTGGAACAAATTTTTATTGCCTGTGATTCTGTGAAATCACGTTTCCTTTAGAAGGTCAAAAATGGTCTGTGAGAATGGATTCTACAAATGGACCAAAGTGGACAACTTATTCTGTGTTTATTATCAGAGGAGCCAAAGAAATAATGATTTGGACACAATTATATAAAAGCTGAAGTAATTTATAACTTGAATAATGAAAAATACTTTACACAGAAACTTTTTTTAGGACAGAAACTTTTAACACAGTGTTTATTGATTTTTTAGCTTTACTTTTTCTCTCTTTTAGGGTGTGGTTAGGCCCACTGGGGGATATGCTGTAATGCTAAACTGGACAATGTCTTCTGTATATGGACTTAAACCTGGAGAGGTAATCATGGTTTTAAATTCACTTTACATGGCATTTCTTTGATTAAGACATATGCATTTTATTATCTTCTTATTTTTTTTAGGTGTGGTGGGCAGCTTCTGACTTAGGCTGGGTTGTTGGGCATTCCTATATCTGTTATGGACCTCTTCTTCATGGGAACACAACAGTTTTATATGAGGTAATGAAATTAGTACCACATATAAATAATATTTCTTTTACTGAAACTTTTTGAGAAGTAGTCTAAGCAAGAATAGAATAATTTTTATTTCTGCCAATTAAAAATGTGATTTCAAATGAGAAGGAATGTATAGAAAATAACAGTCAGTGAATTAAATTTGTTAAACAACGTCAAAAAAATAACATTCTGAAAAATGTACACTAAAAGCTTGATGTCTATTTCTAACATTTCTAGAAATATATTATCACGTCGATACCGATTTTAGAATCTCAGTAAAGAAAATAGTTATCATAAAATAAACAACATAGATTCATCTTTTTGCATTCTTATAGGATTAATGGTTTCCAAATGTATGATATCTTGATCTTAGCTAAATATTTTCGGTGATTTCTGATGATATGTATAAGGGAGAGAATCACAGACTAACCATATTTATAGCTAAATAAATAACTGCTTTAAGAGTCCAGTGCATGGATTAATGTAACAGGAATAAGATTTTTGTGTGTATACTAGAAAATTCTAGTATGCCTATTCTATTTAATTTTATCAAGGCCTTGCATGAATACTTAGAACACATACCTATCAGATTTGTAGGAGGCAGAATCTTTAGAGGGACAGCAAAAAGTTTACTGAATCGGTATTAAAAATGAAATTGAACTTTTGGTATAAAAAGCACAAGATGGGAAAATACAAAAATCTTTATGTTTATATTTATATTAAAAATAAGTGCAGAAACAAAGTCAGAGAAATTTGAGTTGGTTACAGTTTATGTGGTTAAGTCCCTGTGTATTATAATAGTCCACAGTTCAAACATAAGCATTTGGTAGGATTGCTTTAAAAACATACTCACTGTATGCAATGTTATAATCTTACTTTATTTTTCACATTTGGAAATTTGTGTTCAGTTTAATGGGGAGAAGGAAAAAAATAATTAACTTATTAGAAAGTATCTGGAAGAAGGAGACTGGGATGAAAATAATGTCATAGAAGAAAATGTCATGAAGGAATTGTGAATGGTTAGTCTGAAAGATAATATATTTAGTGTGCATATATGTTCAGTATCTTTTGATTTTTAAAGAGTTGCCACATATAAAGGAAGTAGTGTAGTAATGCCTAGCTCCAGAGACCTGTATTTTGGGAATAATCACAGACAAATTTAACTGTCCAGTATTAGAAGAGGCAACTTCTCACGTAGAAGGTTCTATTTTACTTAAAGTCTCTCACTATGAGGTAAGGAATGTGAAGAAGGGACTTTTATATGTGGGGTGTGGATAATAGTATTCGATGATGTCAAGATTCGTTATAACCTTAAAATTCTGCAACTCAATGATTTTGATAAATTAGAGACTATTCACTATCTTTGTGGAATTCTCCCAGTCACCATTTGTAGGTATTAGTGTTCCTTCATTTTTAGCAGGCCAGTTTTCTGTCTCTGAATGTTCAGAGATATTAAGATATTAAGAGATATTAAGATGTTAAGTCTGACACATTAAACCATCTCAGACTACTCTATATCTTTTGTACTATGCTTTTGTACTTTGCAGACTTGATATGCATTGTGGTGTTTGTAATAATTAAAACAAAATAATATTGACAAATATGTTTCATACTGAAATCCTTGCAATAGAATATTTTTATTAAAATAATCATTTCCCTTGAAGTAAAAAAAAAATAAACTGCAAGACTGAATGCTTATAACGAATTGTGATATTGCTAACATAAGTGTAATAGAGCCAAATGTCATTATATGTATAAGTATTAAGCTGCCTTTAAGTGAATTACATACAATTTTTGTGCATTTACCTATTATTATTTCTTCATTATTTCTTAAATTTATTTAAAACATGATTTTAACACCATAAAAGGGGCTTGGTTATTTCTTTATCTTAGAATGATGTGCTCAAGAACATTGTAGATGCTCTATAAATATTTGTGCAGAAGAGTGAATGGAGTAAGCCACATTTTTAGAACTTTTCTCTGTGTTCTGGTTTCTTTCCTACAACTTGTAAACATCCTCAATTCTCTGTAAGCACAAAACCGAGCCCTTGAAACCTTTTCTCACTTCCAGATATCCCATCTTTATATTTTCTAAACTAAGTTCCTTGAAAAAATATTCTACTCACACTGTCTGAACAAGTTACTCTTCATCCTACTACAATCCAGTTTCTGTTCACGTCACTTCATAGATGCTACAGTAGCAGAGGTCGACAGTGATTTCATAAGTGACAAAGTCAAGGGCCCTTTTCGATCTTATTTTATTTTCCTCTGAGTTGCATCAACCCTGCTGACTGTTCCCTAATTTTCTCTCCTCTTTTGAGCTCTATGCCCTTTTGCTGTTGTTCACGCTTTTTTTTTTTTTTTTTTGCCTGTCATGACTTTCCTTCAGTTTTTTCTTATCTACTTAATACCTACCATCCTTGAAGACTCTACTTAGATGTTCCTCTCATAGTCTTTGGCTATGCTTCGTGCCCCTTTCCGTGCTACCATTGCTCCCTGAGCATATGTCCGTCACTGAGCTAATCACACTGTCCTGAAATTATCTGTTTTATATCTTGTAGAGTGTGAGAGCTTCAAAAACCAGTCTCTTGGCACAGTGAATTGCACACACTAAGTACTCAGAAATGCTTATGGAACTAAATTGAACTTTACACTTCTATTCTTTTCCTACCTCTCTGACAGCTTGTCCTCCTTTTCCTGTCTTGGTTTCTCTTACTTTGGTCCTAAACGCTGGGGTTTAGTAGAGTCTTGTTCTTGTTCTTTTCTCATTCTATTTGTATGTCCTTGTTAATCTTCATGCAGCTGTATTTGAGTATTACTAAATAAACCAAGGCTCCTAACTCCTCCTTTCTATGTCTGATCTTCCAGCTGAGCACTAACTTGTTGTTAAGACACTTTTAGTTCCATTCACACCTTATGCTCAAGATGACATGAACTGAACTCACTATTTCCACTTTCCTCCACAAAACACATTTCTATCTGTGTACTCTGCAGTTTTGTTAAGGTTACCTGCATCCACTCAGTCCTCTAAAATAAGAATCTGGGAGTGATTCTAACTCCATTATCGTTATATATCATACTTTATTGGCAATTACATTCTATTGAACCTATATTTTAATACCTATTAAAAGTATCTCTTCTTTCCATGCCTCCTGCCATATAGTCAAGTTGATATTCAGTTAATATTCACAAGTATGCCATATTGACTGGTGTCCATTCTATGTTTGGGCATCTTACCTGATTTGTGCCTGTATGTTCCCATTCATATAGACTGATTATCATCAGATAATCAGTCTAGAGCACTTTCTAACAAATGTTCCTAGCTTTAGTGTCACTCTCTTTTAGGCTGTCTCTACCCCTAACTACAGTTTCTTAGCTTTCCTCATTTATAGTTTATCTGTCCAAAGTGCAAAGGCCAATGTAGGACTTTGTTGCTTAAAATCCTTCAAAGGGTTGAGTTCTGCTTCCAGGAACATGGAGATGACATACTTTTTCCTATTTCTTCCTTAAGTAGAATTAAATGTCTTAGGCACTGTATCTAAAACAAACATAAGAAGACTAAAACATGAAGAGAAGAAGGAAAACAGGCTTTAAGGGACTTTGGGAGCCGAGGGACAATGTGGTAATGAGACCCTGGGTTTTATTTTTTCTCATATATTAGGATATATATACTTGATGATGAAGAAGCTGGCAACCTTGAAATGCTAAAATTTGCAACTCCTTCTAAAAAAAGACCAACAAAAACAAAATCCTTATCTTTCAGGCTGATGGAGTAGAAAAGAGGCAGCCTAAGCAAGATATAAAACTTTTAGATCACCCTACTCCAGACAAATACCACAGAAAAATGCATGGTCCCACATACACTCCCAAGAGCAGAGGGTGAGTGGGCAGCTTAGGCTTCCACATTTGTCAGGCTGTAAGGTGAAGCTGTAACCCTCCCTGTTCCCACAGGGGTAGTGTCAGAGAAGATGAACTACGGCGCCAAGACTTTCGACCCTGCCAGATGGTACTGAGGACCCCTAAAACCTGCAAAGACAGTAGAGACCATATCAGGAGCCTGTTCTTTTATGCCCACTCATCAGTAATGAGGCACCCTTCCCATTCTCTATTGGGGTAGTGTCAGTGGAGGCCTAGTAGAGAGTCATGACTTTCACCATTGATAACAAAGCCACTTATCCCTCTCCTCTGGTGTCAGTGGAGGCCATGTTAAGAGTAGTAACAAGACCCTCTGAATTCACCTAGCCAGGGAGGTATCAGTGGAGGCCTACTATTGGAGCTAGAACACACACAGTAGTAATAAGGAGCATCCTTTCAATTGGGTATCAGTGGAAGGCAAATAAGGAGCCTGGATTTCTACCTCCATATCTCCCTTCCCTGTTAGAGTAAATCAAATAAGTCATCTGAAACAGAAGTTTTGAATATGAGACAATCTCATGATATAATACATAAAATGTCCAGGATTTGATGAAAAAAAAGAAATCACTCCTCATATCAACAACTAGAAGGACCTCAAGCTGCATGAGAAAAGAAAATTAATAGATGTCAACACTGAGATGACAGAGATGTTAGAATTGTTTGACAAAGATTTTAAAACAACCATGATAAAAATGCTTCAAGTGATCACAAACATTCTTGAAACAAAGAAATAGAAAGTATCACCAAAGATGTAGAAATTATAAAGAACAACCATATAGAAATTTTAGAGCTGAAAATTACAATAACCAAAACAAAAATTCACTGAATGCAAGGGACAGAATAAAGATTCCAAGAACTGGAAGATGAAATAATAGAAATTTCCTAATCTAAACAACAGAAAGAAAATAGACTAAAAAAATATGTGTCAGGGGCATGTGGAACGATAACAAAAAATACAGCATTTGTGACATCAGAGTCATGAAAGGAAAGGAGAAAGAGAGTGGGGTTGAAAAAGTACTTGACAAAGTAATAGAAAACTTCTGAAAATTTCTAATTGTCTCAAATTTTGCCAAGCATACAGCCAAGCT